CTCTGTACCTTCCCCATGGTGATGGTTGGTGAGCAGATGCTGTCTGTGATCTACACTCCTGCTCCTATTTATACCCAGCAGAAGGACACGTGAATACTGTCCACTTCTGCTTGGTCAGCTGCACTATTGCGTCGCTTTAACTAAAACTGAACTATAGTTGCTTTCTATTCAGTGTGAAGTACCATTGTAGAGCATGCATAACATACATAAACAAAAAGGATTACGAAATATTTGTGCTTTCCTTTGTTGCTTATAATGTTGTAAAGTTACTTTGCAAGGCTGAAATTACTCTTGCAGTTTGTGCATTTTCTGTGGCAATCATTTTGAATAATGTATGTTCAATCCTCTTCATTAAGACTATTACAAACTATAGCGATCAAATAAGGATTTCAGTGCCTTCAATGATGCACTGTGTTTTTTTCTTTTAATATTGATTGCTTTCTTGTGCTTTTTCTACTGTATGTTTGTATTGATAAGGACCACATTCATTGATTGCATTTAATAGATCAGATGTTCCCAGTCCTGATCCTGGTGTCCCACACACCTGTTGCTCCTGTTGATTTTCATTCCATCCCACCTTAATTAGATAATTGTGGCCTTAATTGATCTAAGACATTGGTATAATTGCATTTTGTTTCTTGGCACAAATTTGAGGTTTTATTTTGCTCACAAAATACAATGATTAAATTCTCCAACATGTTGGAGAGCTGGGAACAAACTGTTCAAATTAATGTTATGAAGTCCCTGAAGGGTTTGGTAGTGCCACTGAGGGCTTGGCTGCAGCAAAAACTAGCAGGTGTGCAGGGAACCAGGACCAGGACAGGGAACCACTGTAATGGATGGTCAGTTAATTTTTAGCTGATAAACGTGGAAAATAAAATGTCAGAGTTCACAGCCTGTACCCTATAGTACACACACACAATTGTGGATCAAGAGCTGTTGAAGACACTCTACTGTTTGAGGAGGAACTTCTGACATGCTCCGCAGGCATGGCCAGTTGAATGTGGTAATCATCTTGCAAGCTCCAGGGTATCATACAGGAGACTTCACTCTGACTGGACAAGAAGAGCATCTTTCAGTGACCACAGATATTGCGGGGGTTGTTATTTTGCTGAAAAGTGACTGGGTTCTGGTTATGTGTTGCCCTCCCTATCTCACCTTTAGTCTGCCTATTTGGGAAGAGTCACACATGGATAGTGACATGACCCGGGCTCACATATCAGAGCCACAGAGCTCAACTTCTGCTGAAATGACAAGCTGAGCTTTTCACAAGCCCTTTTCAATGCAGTCATGTGA